GGGGAGGGAGAAGGGGAGGAGAGAGGGAAGAGGAGGGAAAGGGAGGAAGGCAGGAGGGGCAGACGCGGGAGGAGAGAGGAGGGAAGTGGGAGGGGTGCAGGAGCGGAGGATGCGAAGAGGGAGCGTAGGAAGGAGGGCGGTGGAGGGCGGAGGAGGTGAGGGAGCGCGGGGCGGAGCTGGTTCCTTCCGGCTCGGCCCTCCCTCCCCCGCCGGCTGTCACTCGTCTCTGCTCTCGCCTGCTGGCCCGTGAGCCTGGGGACCCCAGCCTCCACCCGGCGTGCGCCCTGGGAGGCCCGGCGGAAGCGGTGGGCGTCCTACCCGGTTCGAGGCCTTCACGCTGAACCTGCCTTGGGAATTCTGCAGGATCGGAGCAGGGGTGCCGGTGACACCGAGAGGCAGCGAGGCTTGAATAATAAGACTCCTGAAGTTGAGCTGGCCCCGCTCCTAGACCCCGAGTGGATCTGTGACTTCTGATCATTCGATCACGAAAAAACTCGAAGGAAGGCTATGCATGTACCAACCTGACTCCCGGCCGGGTCGCGGAATCTGCGTGCGGATCTGCACTGCTCTGGGAAGCCGGGATCCTACAGCCTCCGTGGGAGTGGCGCCCCCTGGAGCTGAGCGGGGCCCTAAGAGTGACCAGCCTCGACCTCAAGCGCTTGTCTCTGGGCCAGGCCCGCCTCACACACCATTGTTCAATCATCATCATCTTCATTCTCTAAGGCGTCACTTCTCCCAGTTTACATAGGAGGGAACTGAGCCTGAGGGTAAATAACCTGCCAGGTCAGATAAATGGGAAATTCAGGATTGAAAGTCCCGAGTTTCAATCACTTGGGAATCAAAGGATTCCCAAAGCCACAGTCAAAACCACCACCGGTACGGTGGTGTCCATTTTTATCAGAAGGCGCTTCAGTCCGTGCCTGTTTAGGCTCAGCTCTGATGCTCAGTATTTTGCAAGAAAGTTTGAATTCCTAGAGATGTGTATGGAATAGGAAAGCTCAGCTTAGGCAAGGCCATGGGACTGGTACATCCCCAGAACTGCAGCACCAGGAAGGGTGAGCAGCTGTTATTCAGGCTTCCCGGTTTCCATGACAACTCTGGACCGAGGCTATCGGATTATTAATTAATTAATTAATTGAGCTGGAGTCTCACTTTGGCACCCAGACGGGAGTGTAGTGGCGGCTCCCGGCCACCACAGCCTCGACCTGCTGGGCTCCAGCCATCCTTCCGCCTCAGCCTTCCAAGTAGCTGGAACTACAGGTGCGCGCTACCACGCCCGGCTAATTTTTTGATTTATTGTAGACCTGAGGTCTCGTACTGAGATACTGTTGCGCCTTCATGTTTCTTGAAAGTATCCAGGTGTCACTACTGCACGGGTCAGAGACAGAATCTCCACAGGGGAAACAACCAGGTGTTGGAGAGGTGATATTTCTTGGAGATCGAATTTATTCCGTTGGTATTTCAGTGCATATTCAGGCCGGGATCAGAGAACACAGGTCAAGAAGGAGTTCCATAAATGGAATTCGGATCCATAGTAAGTTGCCATGGAGACATGCCAAGTATGTTACTATTTTTTTTAACCATAGCAGAAAATACCGACTCATCTGGGCTGCAGCTTCAGCTAATAAATAGGCTCTTTTTCCTGAAGTTACTTGCTCAGCCCTTGATAACACTAAGAAACTGGGTGCAGACGGCCCTTCCCTGAAGCTCAGTTGCCTAAAGCAGGACTGCCTTGTCCCATACTGCCTGCTCCCATGACCGTGGGTGCTCCATGCTAGATGCTCAGGGGCTCACTGATTCAGGAGGGGCTCTCCGAGTAGAGACATCTCTCTTGCTTTGGGGGCTGGCACAGGCTGGGGGTGAGGTGGCAGCATTTTGCATGTGCTGTGCTGTTTCCAACATAGATTAGCCAAAAACTCTCAAAATAGGAGCACAGGAGTTTGAAGACAAGCCATTCCTGACAGCTGGGCTTTTCTCTGCAGGCTAACCTTGGGCCTCCTCTATAGAATAAGGGGTGATTTGGGGACCTGTGTCACTGAGACTGTAGGTCCATAAAGAATCAAGTCTATAAAGAATTTATCGGAATATGGAGTACATGGTAGAGATGGGCCTAACATGATGTAGCTATGAAATTTCTTATTCCTAGCTCTCCTCTGAGAACATTTATTGAAAAAAAAATTTTTAAATAACATCATATATATGAAAAAAAGAATTCTCACCCTCTCAGGTTTAAACGGGTGATACTCTATGGAAAATGATCTTGCCGGAAGTCCAAATGGCAGAGCTGAGACGGTGGGGAGCCCTCCAGAGAGGAAGCTGGGCCTGTGTGCTATGGGCACCCGGAAGCCTGGACTCCAGCCTCCCACCCAGGCCCCTTTTCCTCCCTGCTTCCCCTTCTGAGGAGGCCTAGGCCCCCTGAGCAGCCACCCTGCCCTGGGTCCTGCCTTGTGTCTGACCCACCCCTGCACTTGGACAGTTACATGCTCATAATAAAATGGCTTATCCTGTTTCTTGTGTGATATTGGGGTTCCTTACTTTCCCCCCCCTTCCTGATATTAGTTGGTTTCCTAGTTACTCAGCAGAATTAAAATCCAGCCCGGCTGAAGCCTCTGATTATTCATTGACTATTATGGTGTGATTTACAGGGAACAATGAGCTTTACAGTAAAGAAACTTAATAAAAGTAAAGCCCTTGTGCTTCGAGATCAAAAGTCGAAGGTGTTAGAAGGAAATTAAAAGTCAGAAGGTGCACAGGGTAGGGTGGAGGACAAGGAATATCATAGTAGAATATTTGTGTTATAAACATGAAATAAGCATGAAATATCTAGAGAGTAAAACGCAGATGGAGTTCTTCAGAATGCAGACATAATTATGAGAAATGATTGGCTTACCAAGTCATCCAATAAAAAAAAAAACACAAAACATCTCCTTAGAAACACGTCTGTATTTACTTTGAAATCCAAGATTGTGGTGGTTTCCAGTTGCAAGTAAACAGACGTCATTTCATCTGAGGTATATCATTTATTCATTTAGCAAACACAAAACGAGATTTGGAGAGGACAAAGATGAACAAGGTTTAGTCCTTGCCCTTAAAAATGAGCCAGGCTCGGTGGCTTAGCCTGTAATCTCGCAACTTTGGGAGGCTGAGGTGAGTGGATTGCCTGAGCCTATGGGTTCGAGACCACCTAGGCAACTTGGCGAGACCTCATCTCTACAATAAATCAAAAATTAGCCGGGCGTGGTACTGCATGCCTATAGTTCCAGCTACTCGGAAGGCTGAGGCAGAAGGATCGCCGGAGACCAGCAGGCGAGGCTGCGGTGGCCGGGAGTGGCCACTACACTCCAGTCTGGGTGACAGAGTGAGACTCCAACTCAAAAAAAAAAAAGAAGTAAAAACGAAGTACACAGTACTGTTAAACATCACACGTACAGTGTGACTTTGGAAACCCTTTAGGTAAGGAAAAGAAGAGAAAAAGAAATCATTTCATTCATGTGGAACCTGGTGCCAATGTCCACCACCTAGACCATTCATGAATATTGTGTGGCAATGGTGACTATTCCACTGACCATATGTTGGAGTCAAAGGACTTATAAAGTCAAGCTTAACTCCCAGTTACTGCCCATTTCCTTATTGGTCCAACCTCACCTGTTTGCAGGCTGGCAGAGGCATCGGGAATCTCAGCAGCAGACATGAGGCTGTGGAGCTCCATCCCACCCATCAGTGTGGTCCCAAACCATGCCAGAGCAGACCATGTCTAGTCTGTTGTAGTTTTTTCTGATTCCTGGGAATAGTGGATAGAGCACTCTCTTGTGGGTCAAAAACTTTTCCTAATGTTCCTTTACAATTTCTTCTTCTTGTTAGTAGCCTCCTTTGTCCCTGGCATCCCCTGTGGTCATGGAGACATGGGTAACTAGACAGAGCCTGCTCTCTTAACCTCTGAAGGGCCAGATGGGGCCAGATTGCCTGGGGTCGAATCCCAGCCAAGCCTTTCACTTAAAGGCTGCCTGTGGGCCCATCTGGGCCTCTTTCTCTTAATATTTTCCAAGTGCTTAGAACACTGTCTGGCATGTTAAGTCTCAGTGTGTGATAAATAAACTGCAGCTCCCCTGACCCTGGGAGGACATGGTTCTTGCATCCCTTCAGCCATCCTTGATCACTTTGGATGAGAGTTGGTAACTAAGGCCAAGTCCTGTTTTTGTAGGTAAGGAAACTAAGGCCCAAGGAGAATGGATCCTGTGTCCAGGGCCATGTGGCTATTTCCTGGTGAGGCTGGGGTCACACTTTAGGCCTCCTGCCTCCACATCCACTACGCTGCCTTACTGACACAGTCATTCTCCCTTATAAGGCAGTCCTTTGGGAGTAGATAAACCACCTTGCAAATCCACCATGTATTCAACCCCATGGTGACGTGCTTTAGGCAAGTCTGAACAACCAAAATAGTAATAGCGAGTAGAGACCCACTGTAGTCTGTAAAATTGATAATCCCTAAATAAATGTGTCTGAACTGAGTCAAACCCGGACTGATATATGATTTTGTGGTGGTGTATTTTTTCTGAATCACGAAATGATTCCTGCAGTATGTATTGAACTGAAAAATGCTCATAGTGTAAACTTGACTATTATTTTGCCAACCTGGAAAACGGAACCACTAGTCTTCACACAAACTAAGAATTATTCATTATTGTGCCAGTCAGTCTAGCAAATGATTAAGTCAGGTTAGCTCACAAGCTACTTTTGGTGACAAAATAAAATTGGGATT